TTAGTGGTGCGTGACGACGACAGCAACATCCCTAACAGCCACAACGATGGCTAAAGGAGGTGGTTAAGGTCATCAGAATCACAACAGTGAAAGGAAGAGGAGGAGTCTCCTTCTCCGATGGAATAAAGGACATAGAACCTTCTTATCAACTAGCTCTGATTCACGGCTTCTAATCTCGTCTGTAATGACAACAGCGGAAGCAACATGGTGGCAGGATCCGACAGTGGCAGTCGATAATGGCACCTCAGTGATGGCTGAAGAGGTTTCACAGCCGCATGTTAACATTCCTCGCTCGAACTTGGTCCCCAATGAATCTCCCGGTCAAAAGGATGAGACACGATGGTTGGGTTCGGAGGTTAGAGATGCTAGCAACGGTGGTGGCGACTGAAAGTTAGGGGTGGCGGCTGGAGGGAGGTAGGGGGTGACGATTGTATCACAACCGGTTTTAGGGTTAGGGTTTGAGAGGGTAAGGAGGCTATATACTTGGATCTATGCAAACATATGGAGAAATGATAGATCTGGTCCCTCCCATTCCAATCACTTCAAACAAAGTACAACAATTACCATTTAGACCCTGGCTCCTTAAAATCCTTTCAACTTTGACCTAATATTTTACCAAATGGCCCCTCCATAACAATTTCTTTTCAGCTTAGCTCCAGAACTTACTCTTTAGTCCCTGCTTCCATAAATCATTACATATTAAATCCAAATAATACCAGACATCCCTTTCCTTATGAAAATCTTTACAAATTGAGTCCCACAGTTACACTTTAACCCTTGGAGATTCAAGTCTTGTCATTTGGTCTCCCGAAACCAACTCCCAGCTAATTGTTATCTGATTTTGGACAATAATAATGTAAAATAATGATAAAATTGCTTCTCGGGGTTCCGGGTTTATTATTTACTCGCTATATTTTAAACGAGATGTTACAACTCTCCCCCACTTAAATTTGATTTCATCCTTGAAATCGTTTATCATCATCCCTTACACACCAGTCCACTTGAATCACATGGTCGTTATTACAAGCATACCCAACCATTCCAAGGCAACCGTATCCAACCATCACCAGGTTCTGAAACCTGATGATACACGAATTCCTCGCAATATAATCACCTTACTCAAGTCGAAATCTGTAGTCTCAAGATGGACTAGCTTCCTGACAGACTGCCCACACTGGATCATCGTCAAATGCATTGCACTTAACTCCCAAATGGATACATAAATTCTGATAACCTGAGGTTCCCACTAGAAAACAGAATCACAAATCCCACACTGCTAACTATGATCTTTTTCTTGACAAGAGATTAAGTACTCCTTCACGAGAAACTCGTTCTGGTAACCAAATTCCCAGTGATATAATGAACAATGGAATGTAAACTGGAGGATAAACCCTTATAGGTTTGTGATGAAAATTATTCCTTTATCCCTAGGACCAACATACATATAATGACCGGTTCATAAGCACAACACTCATACCTGGCCCAATCAACCTCAGGCTGGAATACCATGGATGCCCACGATGGGTTCACTCATCCTTATGATGGAATACCCTTAATCAGAATACTACTATATATGAACTCAGGTCTAAACTCATAACTTGAGGTTCAAGGACCTGATCTTGTATTTCTTACACAATATTTTGGTTCCTCGCGGCCGATTACAGCTTGTCCGAATCTCATCAATGTGTCCATTCCGAAAGCGCTCAAACATAAGAAATAGGCTACTAAGATCACTAGTCCCACGGCCTATGACTGGAATACCCCTACAAGGCCCTCAACATAGGTCTGGATGGCCTCTGAGCCCATAGCATGAATCTGGTATGCCCTACCTGGCCCTCAGCTCATGACTGCCATGCTCCCGATAAACTATCAACATTGTCCAAAAGAAAAGACCCAACCAACGTCCTTCACAACACTAACCAACGCCACGATGATGAAACCCCACCATGTACGATTCACTTGTCGAACAAGTTGCTATCCAAGAAAAATCCCACAAACCATAGACGTACATGACCCTAGAATAAGATGATAGTCAAACTCTAGATCTAACTTGTAGATTATAATCCAGTTCTGATCAAGCACGTAAGTCGAACCAACCTTATTGCCTTCTTGAATACCCACAGACACACGTGAAGAATCACTACAATGCACATATTTGGGAATCCCTAACTCGATATTCACTCGCCACAAAGCCCATACTGGATCGAGACTGATCCGATTCTACTAATACAAAACTAGTCCGAGAAAACTTCCACAATTATTCTCAAGGTTACTGAAATCGGAGTCCGATATGTATCAAAAGTCTATTCCACCTTCGAAGAGAAACATACCCCAAGACTTCGGAAATATAACCACACTGCACAAGGGAATTAGTGACGCATTCCTAGCTTCTCAACTTTCGCCTCTTGAATTCCTTCAGAGAATTCCTGCTCCGTACGAGGTTCACTGATTAACGCCTCTCCAACTATTTTGAAAACTGAAACCTGAATGCAACAGACAAAACGTTCAATAGCTGAAACTCAACTTGAGAATTCCTAATTTCTGCTTATCAAGCACCGAGAAGACGCGATTCACATGTTGGGGAGTTTTATCGAACTCCCAACTCACACAACCCTCAACCAAACAGCCACTTGGGTTGTCTTCCTTCCTGACAACAATGTGAAACTTAACCCATTTTCAAAACCACTTCTGCTTCTGAATCCTGGGATAATTCTCTCCCACTTAGATTCGCCTAAGTCTTCACAATACATAAAAGTTAGAGAATTCCTAATCGCCCACACTTTCCAATGATCGATCCGATGACAACCAACTCTTTCCAACTGGTTATTGTTGTTGTCCGACGGCAGGGAGTGTGGCAATTTCTTGAAAGGTGAAAATTGTATGGCGACTTGAAACAAACAACATATTAGGGAGCAACGATTAACTGGTAAGGCTTAGCAACGACTACGGTGATTGTGATGGTGCAACACGGCGGTTTTGTAGCTGAAAGCAACGGTTAGGGTTTTTAAAGAGAGAGAAAGTGAAAATGTTTAGGGTTTTTATATTTTAGATAAAAAGAAGAGACAACGTAAGAATAATTCACAATAACATAAGTTTATATAATAAAAGAGTATCCTTGTTCGTTTAGACTTTATATTTTGAATGACTAATTGTTTTTCACACGGATCACAATCTACACCATTTAAATTCATCTGAAGGCCATAATTTAACCTCCTTATTTTTAATACTTCATCTTAAAACTTTTCATCTTCGTATTATGTATATATATATATATATATATATATATATATATATATAGTGAGAGAGAGAGAGAGAGATAGGTTCAAGTATTCTAAATAGTTATTGTGTGGTTTTAGGATTTAATAAGAGTAAATCATTCCTAAAGGGTATTATTGTAATCTTACCATATAATTAATATTTTCGGATTAATTAAAATTGTTAATTATCTTAATCAATTTCCTATATATTAGGCAATTATTTATGAATCCTATCAACCATTATATATATATATATATATATATATATATATATATATATATATATATATATATATATATATATATATATATATATATATATATACATACACACACACACATACAATGGTATCGTATGCGTTTTCTTCTATCCCAGATTATTCATTCATCATCTTAATATAATATTTCTTCTTCTTTGCTTTCGTGAATGGAGGTACTTTTCATATTTATCTTTTTCATCTATTATTTTTTTCTTTATTTTTCGCTTCATGGATGTTGTTGAATAAATTCATTGTTTTTATTCTCAAAACCAAGACAATGTTGATAACAAAAACACTGACATTTCTGATAACAAGGTTGGTAATATCAAGGAGTCCAAAATGAATCAAGAATTTAAAAATAAAAAAAATAAAAAAATAAAAAAATAATAAAAAAAAAATGTGGGATTTGTTTTGGTGTTGGTCATGATAGGAGGAACTGTTCTCATGCACTGGTCAAGAAAGAGTAGAAGCTTAATAACGTTTTCAATATAGGCATATAAGCTTTTAAGGAGTTTTATTTTAGTAAAATAAAATATGGAGTCATGATTTGTAGGGGTTTTTCCTTGTATGTTTATGATTCCGTTCATTAAATATTAATAATATTTCATGGTTTGATCAATTTTATTGTTTGTTCATTAGCATGTTCATTAGTTTTTTTTGTAATCAACTGAGTAACTATCTTATAGTTTCCATATGAGTTTATCGTTTGTAGTTGTCTTACAGGATGATCATATGCAAGTGAAACAATTGTGATGTTGATTTATTTTGATACATTTTGTTATTTATGATATGCTAACAGATTTTTTGTTTTCAATGTATTTTGTTTTTGTATTCTTAAAGCAGAATTGTGTTATACATATTGTTTCTACAAAGATTTTTGTCGAATTATTCTTAGTAATATGCAGAATACTAGTGTTTAGTAAAATATGCAGAACAAACAAATGTTCAATTTAATAAACTGTAAAACTAAACAAACTATTATGTTTTTATATAAATTCGTCCTTAAAATATAAAATACATATGTTATTGTTGTTTCACTTATTCTGACATAATAAGAAAGTTGTATCTCCATTGTCTTCTTAATATCTGTGTTTATGCCATAAATAATCAGTAATCATATATAAATTCATACGAAATAATCGTGTTTATTAAAAATTGCTAAAGAAATCAATGTGAAGTCTTATATATGGAATATGATGTGTTGTAAAGTCGTATCTATGGAATAAGAATTTGTCAAATAATAACAATATCATGATCAATAATAGGATTTGGAGTTGATTCTTATCTTTATAAAGTTTTTAAAAAAAACTTAAAAATAAATCATTCATAATAATGACTGCAGATATCACGCCTTTTTAGTTACATATCAATCATACGAATTTCCCCTTTTTTAATATATATTTATTTGGCTTAAAGTCAAGAAGATTTAATTTACATGCCTTTCTACAATCTATTGGTGTCAAATCGTATTGTTAATTATCTAATGAATGATGAGCTATCATCTGGTGATGATCATATTCATGATCAACATGAATATCCTATTGATTATGAAGACGATGATGAAGATTTCAAGTTATCTGATCATGATTCTCTACATAATATCCATTTTGAAATAAGCGAGAATAGTAATCTAAATGGAGGTGATTTTTATTTTTAAGTTTATTTACGTGTTAATTTTCATAAAAATAATGTTGATCTTGTATATTGTTATTTGCATTATGGCGAAATTTAAACTTACAAAAGGGAGGATCCATTTGAACACATTCAAAATCATATTGATGTCAATTCCAACTATCATTTCGGTGAAACTAGTGATCATAACCAAGGTGATGTATTTTAATTATTTATTTGTTTTTTATATATATGTAATTATTCCATTATACTAATTCTATTAAAAGATGCAGAAAACGAAAACGGGTTCATTAACGATGAGAGAGATGATATTATAGCCGATGATAATATTGATTTACAGAAAGGTAAGCACACCAATAAAAAAATATTTTAGAAAACTTTATTACTTCGTTTCGATTGTTTGCAATTTGCACATCGACGATATTCATTTGTTTCACTATATATGTATTCTGCGGTATATAACTTATTGTTTTTTTATGCAAAACAATCACATGTTACACATGATTATGTTTCTCCCGGTGGCTCACCTTATTTGATTCCTGTTGTTTCAGACCACATCAAAACTAAAATCAACTCAATAGTTGATTCATATGGTGCAACATTATCAATGTATAACAACTATGAATCAGAAGAAGGTTTTGATGTCAGGCTTGGAACAATTAGAACAACGAAATCCGACATTATTACACAATGACATTTGCTATGCAATCGGGAAGGTAAGCCAAGATCCACTAAAGTGGATACTCTAGGCCCTCAACATAATAAGATTCAAAGAAGGAAAGACTCATTTACGTAAGAATGTGTAACATCCAAAAATACGACCCAAAATTTTTTGTTTAATCATGACTAAATCATTATATCAATATCATAAAATAAAAACCCATAAGTCAATATCTCAAAACCATAATAAAGTATCATGAGAAAACTGTATCAAGACTGTATCAAAACATATCTACAAAAAGCTGAATCGACTCCCAGGACAAAAACTGAAGCGGTGGTGTATGCGATGCCATCATCCCGAGCTCTTCCCTTTACTTGTGGAAGTACTTGAAACCAAAACTAAAAATGTAAGCACGAAGCTTAGTGAGCTCCCCCAATGTAACATCCGGATTTTTACCAGGTATCTTGTAAGTTTGAATTTTTATATATTGAGAGAGAGACTCGGCGAGTTGGAGCTCGGACTCGCCGAGTAGGGACGCGGGATTGATCGAGGGTGCGCACTTGGACTCGGCGAGTCCAGGGTATGGACTCGGCGAGTCTGCGCTGTGTTATGAAACCCTAAATCTCCGGGTTTGAGGCCTATTTAAGGGGCCTTATGGCCGTCATTTGTGCTCACCCAAACCCCAAAGAGTGTCCCTAGAGTTCTTGAGCGTTTTGTGAAGGAAAGAGAGCCAATCTTGATCTTGTGTGTGTTGTTTAGCAAGAAGAAGGAGGCCCTAAGCAAGAGGAAGCAAAGGAGGTTGCTATTTCGTGGATTTGGAGCTTGGATCATCAACCTAGAGGTATTATTTTCGGACCATTTTCTGTTTGGTGAAGTTTGATGCAATTTAGGGCTTAATGTGGTCATTTATGGGGTGATTTGGTGCCCCTTTGGTTCCCTCTTTGAGTTGAGACCATGGATCTGGATCCATAGAGGTCCAGAGGGCCTCACTCATCAAGCTTTATGGGTGGAAATGGAGTCCTTGACCTTGTGTTGAAGTATTTGAGTCAAAAACATCATTTATGGTCATGTAGAGGTTATATGTGCATCAAGATTGTGACTTTACGTGCTAAATAAGCTTGGAGGGACTGGATCTATGGATTAATGGACTGGATCTGGCCTTTAGAGCAAGATTGAGTCAGTGCATGGCACGGACTCGCCGAGTCCGAAGAACAGACTCGGCGAGTAGCTTGAATATTGCACGACCACTCAGCGAGTGGCCTCGCCGAGTTGGGATGAGTGAACTCAGTGGGTCAAGGGGGAGTCAGGATGGTCAGGTGGACCGAGTCAAACCGGACTCGCCGAGTTGTTCTTGAGACTCGGCGAGTTGAGTCGTGGTGGCCCCACAACTCGTGCCAGGTGGAGCTCGTCGAGTTGGGGGAAATACTCGACGTGTCAAGAGAGGATTCCAGGGAAATTGGTGTATGCGCTCAGACTCGCCGAGTCGCTATAGTGCACTCGCCGAGTCCGGTCAAGTTGACCGTTGACCAGCGTTGACCTAGATTGTCTTGTTATAGTGTGGTCAACCCTAGTTGGGAAAGTGTTAATTAGAGATGTATTGTGCTATAGGGGGACTTCAGCTCGGCAGATCGAGTGTTTAGCGATTTCAGGGTTACGGTTTACCGAGACACGCGAGGTGAGTCTTCTCACTATACTTTACCTTGAGTAGGTAACCAGAGCTATGTGATAGAGTATTTGTGTGCTATATATATGTTATGTGTTGTACTGCATGATTTCTATGTGATTTATGTGGTGCATGATTATCAGAGTTGGAACCTGAGGGTTCACAGAGTTTGGGTGCACGGACCCACAGAGTTATAGCCTAGAGTGGCTAATATGTGCTATATGTGGTATTTTGGGAAACTCACTAAGCCTTGTGCTTACAGTGTTGATGTTATTTGTTTCAGGTACTAGTGACGACCACGGGAAGGCGCCGGCTTGATCCGTACACACACGTTTGGAGCTTGACATTTTGATCTTGGGATTTTGTACTATTTTGTTGAACAATTAAAATGGTTGTTTCTATGAATATTGATGGAATTATGTTTTTATAAAAATCAAAAAAAAAAAAAATTTATTGGAAAATTCGGTGTTACAAATTGGTATCAGAGCCTTGGTTTGAGGGATTCGGGTACACCTTCGGTGTATTTGAACTCAAACTGAGGAAATAAAGAGATATTTTCAAAATAAAAACCAAATTTTCTAAGAGTAAAGGGTTTTCCAGGAAGAAACGTGTGTACGATCAGTCAGCGCCCGAACGGTGAATTCCCAAAATATCTTTTGTTATGTAATAACTATTACTGTGATGTGTGTGCATGCTAGAGTAGGCTAGGTATTGCTGATAGGACTAGAGTGGCCTGTTTTGTGATGCCTTAGCTTAGGGAATGGTGAGCTGCTATGAGACGCTGAGAGTAATTAGGTAGCAGCTAGGGCTTTGTGTGAGATCTGTTCAGAGAGATTAAGTATAATAGAGTACTTGGGGACTGGGATCCGAAGAGGACGATTTGGGGTGTGTACCGAGACGGTGCGGACAGTAGTATTGGGCCCGTACTACTAAAAGCACCGGTGCGGTACGCAGTTCAAATAAGAATCTGGGGATGCCAAGAATCAAGGAGGGGTGGATTGTTGAATGTAAGGGTGTTCGAGTGAATTCTAATTATCGCATGTTGTATTTCAGAGGTTGATCATGGTGAGGACACGACACATGCCGGAGGATGCCGGATCTAGTGATGAGGACATTCGACAGATCATTCATGAGGAGGTGGCTGCGGTCATCAGAGCCGAGATACCAGAGATGTTCGGGTCCATTAAGACCGCTTTGATTGAGACGTTTGACGAGCGCTATGCCGCTCTTTCTGAGGCTGCGGTTGCAGCAGCTACCGCAGCGATTGCTGCGGCAAGACCCCAGGGAGGTGATGCGATGTTGTTTAGGGAGTTCAGCAACACCAAGCCACCAGAGTTTGATGGTACGCAGGACCCGGTGGCAGCTATGAGGTGGATATCTGATATGGAGGGATGCTTCTTCACTTGCTCGTCCCCTGAGCATTTGAAGGTTCGGTTCGCGCTGAACCAGCTTCGCTTGGGAGCGAAGGACTGGTGGAAGTTTGTGACTGCGCATTTCACACCGACTGAGCTTTCGGCAGTGACCTGGGAGAGGTTCACTTCCATGTTCCGAGATGAGTATGTTCCTCAGGTGGAGAGGGAACGTCTGGCACAGGAGTTTCTGACCCTCAAGCAGGGTACCGAGTCAGTTACAGCGATTACGAGGATGTTTCAGGAGAGGGCGATGTTTTGCCCTGAGCACGTGTCCACCGAGCAGGCACGTATGAGCCGTTACCTGAGCATTTTGAGACGGGATATTCGGGAGTTCGCTGCGAACTCCTCGTACCGGACATTTGCCGAGCTTCAGGCAAATGCTCGGAAGAGAGAGATTGAGCTTGAGACTCAGGCCAGGGAGGAGGCGGAGTCTATGGGGAGGGATCGGCGGCCGGCACAGTCCCAGCCGGCAGCCAAGCGGGCCAAGCCCGCTGATCCCAGACCCGGGAGCCAGAAGGGCCGCACTTGTGGGAAGTGCGGCAAGGGTCACGATGGCGCCTGTCGGGCAGGGTCTTGCTACAAATGTGGCAAGGAGGGGCATATGGCTAAGGACTGCCCCAAGGGATTTGCAGTGTGCTTCCACTGCAACCAGACTGGACACCGGAAGGCGGAGTGTCCGCTGCTGCGCGGGGCATCTCAGGGGTCTGCTCCCGCCGCCATCAGAGCTGCTGCTGCAGAGAGCGGCCCGTGAAGGCCGAGGCACCGAGGGCTCGGGGGAGAGCCTTCCAGCTGACTGCGGAAGAGGTCCGCGCTGCACCCGACGTTGTGGCTGGTATGTTTCCTTTTCATTATTGTTTATGGTGTTGAGATATTATGCTTATATTATGCTATGCATAGGTACCTTCCTTGTGAATTCTGTACCTGCTTTAGTGTTATTTGACTCGGGTGCGAGTCGATCTTTTGTGTCTTTGGCGTTTAGTCAGCGTATCAGTGTTAGTCGGGGGACATTGAGTCGGCCCCTGCGGGTTTCCATAGCCGCCGACAGGGTGATTTGTGCTACTGAGGTCTTCAGGGGATGTGTATTGGAGATATTCGGGGTTGAGTTTCCGATCGACCTGATTCCGATTGCGATGGGTGATGTCTGTGTTATAGTGGGCATGGATTGGTTGAGCCGATTCGGTGCGGTTATCGATTGCGAGCAACAGCTGGTGACTATACGAGATCCTAGTGGGGGAGTTCTTTCAGTATACGGCGAGGGTACACGTTCTGGATCAGCCTTTTGTTCGGCTGCTAGGGCGAGGCAGTGTTTACAGCAGGGCTGTAAGGGTTATGTAGCGTATGTGATGGATACGCGAGTGATCTCTGAGAGACCGAGCTCTGTGGAGGAAGTTCCGGTGGTGCGGGAGTTTCCAGATGTATTTCCCGAAGAGTTACCAGGTGTGCCTCCCGTGAGGCAAGTGGAGTTTGGCATCGATTTGGTTCCGGGAGCCGCGCCTATTGCTAAGGTGCCGTATCGCCTTGCGCCTCCAGAGATGCAGGAGTTATCCTCGCAACTTCAGGAGTTGCTGGGGAAGGGGTTTATTCGGCCGAGTAGCTCGCCGTGGGGAGCACCCATCTTGTTTGTGAAGAAGAAGGATGGCTCGCATCGCATGTGTATTGATTACCGGGAATTGAATAAGCTGACGGTCAAGAACCGTTACCCGCTGCCGAGGATCGACGATTTATTCGATCAGCTACAGGGAGCATCTTGGTTCTCCAAGATTGATTTGAGGTCGGGCTATCATCAGGTGAGAGTGCGGGACGAGGACGTCCAGAAGACAGCATTCAGGACGCGTTATGGGCATTATGAGTTTGTGGTGATGCCTTTTGGGCTCACTAATGCCCCGGCTGTGTTCATGGACCTCATGAACAGGGTATGTCGGCCGATGTTGGATCGGTCGGTGATTGTTTTCATTGAT